GGCCTTTCTGGCATTTGCTAGCAAAATGTCCCTTTGCCAGACAGAGATTGCACAATCCCTTTTCCGAGACAAATTTCTTTCTTTCAGCGTACGATTTTTCTTGGAACATATAACATCTACCTCGCGAATGGCCTTCCTTACTACAGAAAATGCATTTAACTTCATTGTTATGTTTCGTTTACCATCTTGTTCTTCGTTTGACGAAATATTCGACACTTGATAAGCTGAGACGTTCCTCTGTTGTTTACCATAAGACTTGGTTTTGTTCCTTTCCCAGTCCATTTTAACATTAACAAGCCGACCATACTCAGTATTTGCCAACTTAGCTTTGTTTACTACAAACTTTGTGAGTGCTGCAAAATCTGGTTCACTTCTTTGATCTCTAAGCTTATTCGCCTCTTTGGCCCATTCTGAACGGAGGTATTTTGGCAGCCGTAAAACAATCGCGCTGATGTTGTGTCTTGAGTTTATATCTGATTGGTAGCCCAATTTGTTCAAATTCATGTCTCGGGCTAACTGCATAAGCTTTTCACTCTCATTTTCCCTAATTATAGAACCTTTCGTCACTCGATCAATGTGAGAAGCAGCCACAATATGAGCCTGCCCAAACATTTCATGCAAAATAGACTTTGCCTTTTTGTACCCCTCTTCCGGCGGTAACATCACAGATCCACTGATGGCTTCCTTTGCCTTTCCCGTACAGAGTTGGATCAAATAAGTGCGTCTAACGTTGGGATCGCTTTCGACGTCTTCCACATTAGTCTTGAAATTTGTTATAAAGCTAGGGTAGTCTAATGGATTCCCATCGAAAGACATATATTCGCGTTTAGGCATCACAAAACCTTTACTTATTGTCGACCCAATTGTAGTTGCCATCAATCTCAAAGCTTGTTGTTGTTGTTCGAACATCTGTTGACTATCGGATGTTGGATGTTGAAACTGACGATTATGGGAATGAACATTCCCGTACTGTGGACACGAACTTTGAACTGCATCCTGATACATCGTTGGAACAAAGTTAGGGTGTACTAATTGGGTTTGTTGATCCGTTGTATAACCTCGCTGGTACATTTGTGTTGTGGGCACTTGGGGATTCATAAACGTGTTATTGTATGTTCCATATGGCATTCGAAACTGTTCAGCATTATATCTTGCATGCCTAAAGAGTTCGTCTCTTCGATATAATTCTCTACTTTCGGTCTCCCGTCGCTCCGCTTCTTGACGTTCCGCATCTCCTCGCTCCGCATTTCGTCTTTCCGCATCTCGACGTTCCGCATCTCGACGTTCCGTTTCACGTTGTTCCGCATCTTGACGTTCCGCATCTCGACGCTCCGTATCTCGACGTTCCGCATCTCGACGCTCCGTATCTCGACGTTCCGCATCTCGACGTTCCGCATCTCGACGTTCCGTTTCACGTTGTTCCGCATCTCGACGCTCCGTATCTCGACGTTCCGCATCTCGACGTTCCGCATCTCGACGCTCCGTATCTCGACGTTCCGCATCTCGACGTTCCGCATCTCGACGCTCCGTATCTCGACGTTCCGCATCTCGACGCTCCGTATCACGTTGTTCCGCATCTTGACGTTCCGCATCTCGACGCTCCGTATCTCGACGCTCCGCATCTCGACGTTCCGTTTCACGTTGTTCCGCATCTTGACGTTCCGCATCTCGACGCTCCGTATCTCGACGCTCCGTATCTCGACGTTCCGCATCACGTTGTTCCGCATCATCATAAGGTCCATTTCCCTCATGGTCATGACTCATCATATTCAGTTCTCTGTTACCATCATCGGAGATCTGATCATCACTATCGACTTCGAATTGTTCCAAAAGCTCAGCATGTGCTAACTTAGCTTCCATTTCTTGCAATTCCTTCCTTTCTGCAATCTCAGCGAATCGTCGTTTCCTTTCTAGTTCTAATTCTTGTCTTTGCATTTCTAGTTCTAAATGCCGAGCTTCCCTATCTAATTGTTGTTTTTCTTTCAGTTGCCTTAACTGCAACTGCAACTTGCTTCTACTGATGCCTGCATTACTTTGCCTTGACTTGACACTTAATGCAGGGGCAGACCTAGAAACTCTAGGCGAATGGGGTTCATCAATATCTTGAACAACAGAGTGGGCCTTTGCGGGCATTTGAACATTGCTGAGCCATTCAGCAGTATATTGTGTTGAAACATCTTCTCTCTCGTCTCTTACTGCATCCATATTCAACCGTCCATCATTATCCCTTCTAGACCCCATATGATCCAAAAATACACCTTTTATCACGGTGCAAGACTATTTATTCACAATAATCAAACTTTACTTGAAGAATTCACGCTTCATTAAGCCACGAATATACACAAATAATCACACAATAGCAATAACTTACGGAGTAGTCAGAAACTTTGTTGTTCTTGAAGGGGTTATCCGAAACGCACCGTATAAATTTAATCCATAATTCATAAATCAATATAATTTGCACAAAAGATCGCTTTAAGGTGGTTTCTATAGAAACAATACAAATACATTATAAACTACGCTACAACAAACAAATTACTTTACAAATATATAGAAAACAGGACAAAAAACATGCAAATGTACCTGACTTTTGCCCTTCGATCCGAACGATCAAAAAATATAAACACATGTATTTTTGTCACGTGATGTCCTGCCTGCTCGCAGGCGGTTAGGCCCTACTTTTCGGGCTAGATCCTACATTAGCGTTATATTGTGGTCCAATAAAGTTTCTTTATACAACAAGCACCGACATCGATAATAATCAACAGTTAATAATACTATATAGACACATCAGTTGGATCAGACGACTCTGAGGTGCACTCGATCGGTTAACAAAACTCGATCATCGCTATATAGACCTTTTTCATGATGACGCCAAACGCGGAAAAACATTTTTTTTTTTCAAAAAGTGGGGTTTTTTCGCGTTTGACGTCATTGTGAAAAGGCCTATTGATTTCTTTGTTCCAATGATCAATATGTATAGTGTATCCAAGTTGATCTATAGCTAGTAATTGACTAACTGTCAAGGATAATAAACGTTTCATATTTTGGATGTTTTTCATTAATTCACTCTTTAACAAGTCGATGTTTGATCGGAACATGAAAACATGATTGTCAGGTTTCATTGAATTCAAAAATGTTTATCTTTGTTGTAGACTTTGTATACTGCTACTGGACCAGTGGACCTCCAAGGTTATTCTACAGAATACTTCAAATTCCTTTTGAGAATTATTGCTCCTGTTATTTATAAGGGACCATTCATTATTTATGACCGGGGGTGGGCTGGCAAAGAAAGGGGGTGGGTCATGACGTATTTTTGACCGTAAAACGGGGGGCCACCTAAAATTATTAGTTCAGGAGGGGGGTCCAGTTATTTTATTATAGTGGTGAAAAATTTAACATGTAACGATTATTGCTACCGCAGAGAGCGAGCAAGGCAGCAAATTTAATTCATGTACCTAGCAAAATTCTCAATTTTAATCAATTAACACTGATAGACCGAAAATGCAATGCGCAAATACCCAAAATACAATGCGTGCAGCTAATATGAAAAACAATCGAACATCTATCTTATAACTTTTGCCATTAACTTGCCATAAATATTGTCATGTTTCCCTGATGTACATTTTAATAAAAAAGACACTCCTGATAACGAGTAAGCATATATTGTAGTACAGGGCCGTACTACATTATCCATGACCACCTGCAATGAATGAAGATATTACCCATACTTTCCTGTAACTTATTTAATATATAGTTAATTAAATATGCCTTTGCCCATTTAGTACTACTCAATTGTAAACAAATTGCAAATTTCAACAAACTAAAACGCTGTTTTCTGACCATCAAAATTCTGTCAAATCTTCTCCAAAGTCCAGGAAATGGCATTTCAGAGACTCTAAATTTAAAAATTCCTCGGCCCCCCAATAAAAAGAGACTAGTATATACTAGGTACTTTATACATGGTTTAATTTAGTATTAAGTACATAATGTGTGCTTTAGTGGAAAATATACTTCGTAGTGTAGAAAATACACTGAAACTGGATTCTAATTTTTAGGTCAGAATTTTTTATCAGAATTCTTCTGGCCAGTCTAAAGTTAGGATTAGCAGAGTTTGTTCTTATTAAATATGCATATTGTTGAAAGCATAAGTAAATGTAGATATGATGCCGGGTCATGTGTCTATGTATACATTGGAGGGGGGGGGGGGTTACTATTGTTTAGAATTCATGTTGAAGGGGGTCATTGAATTTTTTTGTGATGTGGGGGGGGGGGGTGGGGGCATGTTAATTGAATTTTGCCAGCCCACCCCCCGTCATAAATAATGAATGGTCCCTATAACCATATCTCTATTCAGATGTGCCTCTTGAAAGTGGTTTTGGTATTCTACACTATATCGTCATCACTGTTTTAATGTTATAACATCATCATTAAATAAATTGATGTATCAGTATCTGTATGGTATCAACCAAATCGTGTAGTGTATTGCCTTGTTGGGCTTGATATCACACTGAATTAGCCTTCCTCACAGCCGATTTTCCCACCATTTTTGGCCATTGAGTAATGCCTCTCTGGCTTACGTTTGAGAGTCTCCGCACCACGAAATACAACTTTAGTATTATTAGTTGTTTGTACAATGGTAAATTTACAGTTAAAACTTCTAAAAGTCGCTTTTCATGTTGTCTGAATTGTCTAGAATCTTTCGCGAGAGCAGACAGTACCGCAAAAATGGCGGATTTTGGCCCTCGTGAGAAAAGCTAATTAAAAAAGCTGGTTGACTGGTATTGCCCGTCCTACTGTGTGTGATTTAGTTTGAGGAGTTTGACACCTTTTAGTTATCCAGCTCATGTGTGCCACTCAGATAAATATTTATTTATTTTGCTTTGCCAACTAGGGCAGGGTCACCACAACAGCATATACCAATTACTGTGGGCCCTTTTACCTAACCCACCCACTGATCTAATAGTAGACGAACCCACCCTGTCAACTTTCCCTGTGGGACGAAACCGGAGTACCCGGGGAAAACCTACGACTTTCGGCAGAGCGTTGACTTTTACTCAGACTAGTCCTCTGTGCACGCTTTTGATTTCCGAGCCGTCACCTCATTAATATGCAGAAACGCGCAATAGGCGTACTAAGAGGCCTAGGGACTAGGCTGACTTTTACTCTTTTCACATGAGGACTGGGTTCTAGTCGCATTGAGAAAGTTCTCACTGAGGCTTGGACCTGCAGCCTCGTAGGTGAAAGGCAAGTGCGCTAACCACTTGGCCACCGAAGCCCCATATGAAATACCATGTCTAAAAAATCTGCTGCTTTATTGACTTTTTTGCCTGATATAGATCTCATTTTAATAACATTTTATCCATTTTTGATTTCACTGCCAAGGTCTTTGTTTGTTTGTTTTTATTCATTTTGGTTTATAAATGCATGAAGTGATGGATAATACAGCCTACATCAAGTACAGCCTTGCTTGATAACATTGCTTGCTGCTGAGCCCGCATTATATTTTTCTTGATTCCTATTGGTTCGCCCCAAGCCTCGATTTTGCCGAAAGCAGTTTCTTTCCAGATGAAAATTCTTTAAAAAAGCTTGATCATAAAATAAAACAAGCAATAATAATGCCGGGATGGAAATATAATGGCGTTTTCCGCCCACAATGAGATGGGCCAAAATGAGAGAATAGAAACAGTTAATTCTACAACCTCTGGGCCGCGAACTGGCGACTCGGAATCGAAGGTTTGTATATGGTTTTGTACAGCTCTGAATCAGCCTGGAAAAAATATACATGCACAAATATAAAATTGACAGAATAACTCGTTTGATTCCGGCCTGAGATTCGGTATTTTTCCCGTGTTGCTACTATACATGATAATATTTAAGAAGAACAACTGTTTCTTTTCTCGGTGTTATAATGGTATAAAAAGCGATAGTTTTACAAGTGTGTTGTGAATATTTGTAGTTTATACCCAATCCTTCTGCTCAGCCATTTGTGCCGAAGTGGAACTCAAGTATACCGGAGAAATTGAACAGTTACTTGGCACAGGTAAGAACTTTTACCCCAAAAGACGTTTATATACGAGTACTGTTTATACTTTTTTTGTCTTTTGAAAGAAGGATAAATATATCAGGATTCCAAAATATTAATTTCAAATAAAACCACAGTCACAGCTTCAGTTTGTTGTTTTACTGAGCATATTTATAAAATATCCCTGCTTCTGCTTTGTGATAAAATAAATTAGCTTTCTCCCTCTAGAAGTGTAATTGGTTCTTTACATTTAAATTACGTTATCTTTTCCACTAAAGCTTTTTTGTTCATAGTAATTCGGACAAACAGTAAACATTCAAAATATAATGCCTTCATTGAGAATATTAGAGTATATAATTCCGAAGTAGTATTATTATAATATTAATTTCCAGCCATTTTACTTAAAAGTTCTACATTTCAAATTCTACATTTTATGGAAATTTAAACCACTTTGATAGCCTGATTACTTGATGAAATGAAATATTACTTATTGTTTACTAATAATATAAACACCTAAAGTCAAGGTGTTATCTGATATAATCCTTTGTATAATTTGTCCCTAAGAGTTGTGATTTTATTGTTTACATTTATCTTATCTATTGTACCATGCCTTTTAAGGGTCTGTTTATATGGAAGCCCAATTGGCTCGCTAAGCGAGATCTTGCTGTGTAGTCATTCTTATAATAAAAATTATTGTGCGTTTATATGGGCTGGCCTGGTTGCCGAGATCTCGCTTGAAAGAGACAAGATCTCGCTTACTGGGATGGAATTTCTCCATATAAATGCTTACAAGCAGGCCAGCCCAGTCGCCAGGGTATTAGTTCAAAGATACTGCCACAACTGAAATTACTGAATATATCTCTCAGTTCCCTGGGCCGGTTGTACAAAGGCTGGATAGCGCTATTCACAGGATAGTGATTTTTTCAAGCTTTCTGAAATAGTCCGTTGATTGGTACAACTCAGTTATAACTCTATTATTTCGTTATTTCTTTTTAATACTGATTAGGTTCATATATGAAGCTTTGCAACATTTTGAGCATTTGCACTATATGACACTATCATAGCATAGCACTAACTGGCCTTTGTACTATAACTCATTGGTAGAGGAGCCTAAATAAAATCAGTTAATATAATAATGGATGATTTTGTTGATCCATATCTTTGGTTTTGTGCAACCGAGTGACTTGAAAAATGCTAGGTAGTTTTCGTAATTTATAAATAGGGGTGCACCGGAACCAATGTTTTAAGATCTGGCCATTTCCAACTGGAAAAAAGTTCCAGCCGGAACCGGTACTCTGAAAAATTGGGGTTCCGGCTGGAACCTAGGTCCGGTGCACCCCTATTTATAAATACGATTTTGGCATTCCAATTGTGCAAATTTCAAAAAATTAAAAAATAGTTCCTTTTGGGCTATAACAGTGAAACTTCTCTTGGAAAATTTGATAGTGTGTGCTTACTTAAATTAAATTTGCCTTACAGGTGGTTTCCAAATTTTGAATATAGTTTTTTTTGCACCATGTGGGGTTTTCTCTGAAACAACTGCTACGTTTGTATCACTTTGTGACATTTATGTTAACCCATTAGTGGCAGCACTCTCCCCCTGATGAGTAAACTCATCTGGCATTAGACAGAGTAAAATAACAAAGTAGGGCTCATCCGGGCACATTGTCACTTGAAGGGTTAAGTACTTCACTAGGTAATATTTTGGGCAATACAGTCATTTTGAATCATAATTAGTAATTGAGAGATGTTGCATGACAAAAGAGTAATTAGGTCCAATGATAATTCCAGTTGCCTTCACTCAAATAATTATCACATGAATTTAATTATGTGTGTCACATTTGGAATCACATGCGCAGAAGAGAAAAGGACATGGAGCAATGGTCTTGCCTTCACTGTACAGATCTTTCAAGGAAACTTGTTACAGTAATGTCCACAAACCAGTCTAAATGTGATCACATCCATTTAAATTTAGTTGGTTTATCACTGGTGCTCACATGTAGCCTAGTGTGTTTCTTATTGTACAGTAGCTCCTATGTCTCAATTGCCAAAATGATAATTTGAAGATGCATATGAAGAGCTAGGTTGATTATTTGAAACTTGTATTGATGTATCGAATGAAAGGAAATTCACTTGGTGCTAATTAATTAATGTCTTTGATATATTCTTTACAGCATATACTGTAATAAATATTAACAAGTGTTTGATAACCATTACTCATTAGATGAAAATTGCCATTGATAATTTCATATTTGGCAGTATTATCGATGACAATTGCAGGCCTGGATGAAGTATTTCTCTTCCTGGCAGCAATATCCAAAAATAGAAATTTCCTGCTAAACTAATTAAAAATTTCCTGCGAGATTTTTTTATTTATAACTAAGAGGACAAGCACTAATGCGAAAAATGAAATTATATACTTTTAAAAAGCAGCTACTACACTCGACAGTCGACAGGAACATCAATGACTCTAACATCATTGACATAACTTTTTTTTATTCTGGCTGTTCTGCATGGGAAATTATTCAGTTGACTATTTGTCTTTCTGAGTTTCTGTTATTACTGATCATGCAATGATGCAGTCATCACTCATCAGTCTTATGTAACTATGTACTGTACTTATCCATTTACTTCTATACTATTGATAGATTATTACAGGTAACTAACGGTGTAATTATTGTATAAATATCAAGGTTAGATAGCCTACTTATAGATAAAAAAAATCATAAATGAAGTCATGACGTTCATCAGTAGCTATAGCTTTGTAACAATCAGAAAATAGTTCCGAAATTTTTATTCAATTCATTTCTATACTGCATGAACGGCAGTCTTGACTTCTCTTGCAGCATTCTGTTTACAACCTTAGAATTGTTAGATACACCCACTGTGTCAAATAGGCTGATGTCATTCGACTTCTTATAAAGCGAATGCCATGCTGCCCTTTGAAATGTTGTTTCATAGCCGCCATCACAACTTTATCACATTGGACTGGTAAAGGACCATTAACTCCGACCATCATTTCGTTGTACGCGGTATCCTCATTCACATTTCTAAATTTATTGAAGTGAATCTCAAACTTTAATGTTAATGATTCAATCACTGATTGAACAGAAACTTTCACAGCGGACACACAAATGAAGTGGATAATCATCTCAATTCCTTTGTACAACTCTTTGTCGCTGCGCAAAAATAACTTAGTAAGTTCTTTGCTGTCGAAATCATCATTCTTTTGGTTCTGACGACTTGCTCCAGCCGTACCAGAAATTCTTCAAATAGAAGAATTATGGTCTCGTCCGGAACCTCTTTGACGGATGGGATTATTTTGCGTATCGTCGTCATACTATACTTCGCTCTTTCTATATTCGAAATAAGGATGGCACCTCTCAACTTTATTCTAACTGCAGTGGTCTTCAAATCAGTAATCAACCTGGGATCCTCGATCATTTCTTTGTCTGACTGAGAGAAGACTTGATCGCGTAAATCTTTCTCCAAGCATGTGATGAGCAACAATACTTGCTTTGAAACATTATCTCGCACGTTTTCAGCTTTGTTAGCATTTGCTCTTCTGGCCAAAGACCTTGTTACATTTGGCCCCTCTTCGTACACCCATGTACTCACCTGTATCATTCAATTGTTTTATATCATCATGATATACAAGCCAAGAGCAGGATTTTGCGTCACATGTGTCATGATTCATTCTTTCGGACATATTCTTTCATGAGGAAGGAGTTGACTTTCTGCACCACATTTACCAATTCTCCATACTTCTCATCAATATCAGTTATACCAGATAGTCTTAATACGAACTTGACAGCAAATGAAATTCATGAATTTTTCTGCAACAACAGCATTTTGCCTATCTTTCGAGTCACCGTCTCTCTTTTCAGTCTTTGTCATCTCGAGACACTGCACAGTTGCACGATAATCCTTACGAAAGACGAAAGTTCATATAAACTTTCCTGATACTACTTGCAAAACGAGTAGTGCTATACTTAGCTGGATTTGCAAGCACTTGTCCCAAGGATTCACACGCATCTGCAAGTGCTTCGTAATTCTTCCCTCAATTGAAATTCTTGAGAACAGCTGCACCAACTTCAGTTACCTTATTCAGAAACTTGAAAGTGTCATCTTCTCGAATATGACTGTCAACCAAGCCAGCTTTGTGCATGAGATCATAATCATAATGAACAGACGCGTCTTTTCCTCCTGTGACAAAGTGGATATTTAGGACTTCAGGAACAGAAAAGTGGAAATACTGATCCACCTTGAAATTGCTCGGCCGATATCTCGAACTCTTTCAGCACGGATATAATACTTTGGCCGACACCTTCCCCAATGTGAATTTTCACAACTGGTAGCCCCAGAAACATATACTGTCGAAGGTCATCGGCATCTGGTATTACGTTAGTCAAACCAACAAACTGTCGAGTGCGATGCTTGCATGTAATTGCTTTGTCTGCTAACACTTTAACAGGAGGCGCAAATCCTGTTCGCGGTAGTGGTTTTTATCAAATCTTTCACATTATCTTTGACAACTTCAGCAACAGATTCCGGAAATGTCTGTAAATCGCTGTTCAAGCTGTTTGATTGATAGGTCGAAACTGATACGTTCGTTGGTAAGGGCTAATCTGCGCGTTTGAACCGTAAACTAAGGCTGTTATTAATAACAAAGACAAACTCAAAAACGTTCGCAGTTGCCTGTAAATGCCTAAATGGTAGTGTTTACTTTACAGAATACAGTGTAATCTGATTTACGTTCTCCCATACACTTGTAATCTAAATCTACTCGATAGCAATTTCCTGCGAGATACAAAAATATTTCCTGCGAGTAATTTTTGTGAAAAATTTCCTGGCAGCGGTGCTGCCGGCGCTGCCGGACATTTTCCAGCCCTGGCGTTTTTGTCAGGCCTTAAGCTGATCTCAAATTATTTACTATTTATAGGTTCGATTCCCACCGTGGCCAGGCATATTTTTCAAGCTTGCCCGGTGTGGATATACACTCAGAGTAACATCACAAACATCATTATTTACTGTAGTTTCTAAATTTTGTGCCTATTTTATTTCATTGTGCAATGTTCCATAAAACGTAAAGTTCCCGTACAATGGATATACATCTAACAAGGTAAACTGCTGAAATGTAAAAAACAAAAAAGTCTAATATCCATACGGTCTATTAAAAGTTTAGAATACAATAGAAATACACGAATGCAAATACCATAAACACAAATACACCAAAATATTGGAACAAAATCAATGAAAATATAAATATTACAGTCAATTTCAGCTGACTTTTCATCGTAAGATTCCGAACTTCGTTCCGAACTTCGCAAATTCGTTGCCAAGTTCAAAAGTTCATAATGAAATTCACAAACAGGTTTGTAAACAAAGCCTCTGATTGGCAATTAAATCAAACTAGCCAATCAAATGCCCAGTTTACAAACCTGTTTGTGAATTTCATTATGAACTTTTGAACTTGGCAACGAATTTGCGAAGTTCGGAACGAAGTTCGGAATCTTACGATGAAAAGTCAGCTGAAATTGACTGTAAAGACACGCACTGGCGAAATGGCAAAGAAGCCGCCAGATTTGGAGTGGTCGAGCATTTGAAACAAACACATTTCCATAAATTTAGATACTGTGCATTACATTATAACACAAAAAGGTTTTAAATTTGAAGGCCGTGCTGGCTGATACCAATGAATTGGTAAAGTAAATATGCATAGGTAAATGTAGACTTTAGTTTTATAGAGGATATGTGAGTTGATTAATAAATGGGTAAATGAAAGGGTGACAAGAGGGGAAACAAATAAAAATATTTTACTGATGACAAGATCTATATACAACTATAATTCCAAACTTGCATGGTAAATGTTGATGAAAAAAATTATGAGTCAGTACGCAGCTTCTCAGACGAATTCCTCCATTTGGAAGAAGATTTTCTGAAGAACGATGCAATTTCTTTGTTCTGCACACAATTTGAAGCAATAATTGTTAAAAGTCACTGTTCCAAGCAAGAAGCTTGGTATTATCTAAAAAAATTACAAGAGCTTTCCGCTTGAATGCTTAATTCTGATTTTCTTTCATCTAGTTTCAATCTATCCAATATATCACCTGTGAATCTCGACTATACATTAGACGTCACTGAAGACATCAGTCATCCTTCATTTAATGAACATCCTCTCAGAACTAGCAGCCGAGCATCAGGACTTCCACAGGTACGCTGCTGTAGATTAAATATACTACTTTCTCGTAACACCATTTTGTGAGTGGTAAATAAATGTTGATAATTCATGAAGAAAATTCAAAAGAAATTAATGTTTGATCAATATTTCTTTTGTCCTTTTTTACAAAAACTTTAGCCTTTGATTTTCCCGGTTAAAATGAACCATATCGCCAAAATAGGCGTGGCTCTTTCGTCCTACACCCGTAAAAATCACACATCTGCCAACAAGCCGTCAACAAGTTGTGTTCGCACTGCTCGTTCCATCTTGTAACAACCTTGTTGATATTATCACACTTGTTGCAAGGTTGTTCCAACAAGTCCAATACAGTCATCATATAACAATATTGTCACAATCTTGTGTCGTGTTGAAGTTTATTACGTACACTTCTGTAAAAATATGAGCACGGAAATAGTTTGGCCAACTTAGGCCAATATATATGATTGTGTATTAAATTATTGTAGGATGCAACGTTCCCAAGTTCTCGGCCAGCTACAGCTATGGGAGTGGTATTTGAAACTGGAAGTATGAGTAGCTGTCTTCTGTCAGATGGTTTACCATTTACTGTGGAACCCAGTCAAGGTCGTATCCCTGCTGGTGAATCTGTTTTTATCAATGTCAGGTTTGCACCCAGTGACATAACCGAATACCAAGGACTTCTGAAATTTACGTAAGTATTGAAATATAAATATTGTTATCGTAATTCTTATTAACCCTACCCCCGGGTGGTTTATTTGCTGCTACGTATGAGGGAGGGGGGAGGGGGTTAATTGAAATGGAAGCTTTAAACAATTAGAGGTTTATTGATTTTCCTGCAACGCACTAGTGGTACGTTCGCACGCTGCGATTTCTCGGGCCGATATTAGGTTTTGTTGTATGTTAATGACGAATATTTTTATTTGGTGTTGTCTCTGACAACGTATGCCACGTGTTTTTCAAATATCATTATTAAAGTGCATCTGAATTCATGTCTTTCATCATAAAACTTGCATGAGACGAACCCCCTTTTCTTGGCATTGAACGAGTTAACCCAACCAGTAATATAACTCCTATTTTGTCAACCACTTCTGCAATTGACTGTTATTTCACAAGCACGCTTACAGGAAAAAAACCCAAAAAAAACACAAAAAAACGTTTAAGTGCTGTTCGCGTGAGGACATGGCGAAAATTCTTGGAAAGTAAGATGGACTGTGTAGTAGCTTTCGAAAATATTCAATGTGCTGCGTGATTTGAACATATTCTTCCGTGTGTCTAATATGTGATTCGGTAAAAGAAATGTTGGAAAGAATTACTGTAGAATGTTGTTTTAGCAACGTGACCTCTGATGTTTAATTGAGTGCAAAGCTCATTAATTATTCACTAAACATCTAATTATCTTTCAGCATTCCCAACCTGCATCCTGATTCCTCACCTCCAGAGATCAAGTTAAAAGGTCGAAGTCTGCTTCCATATTGTCATTTCGAGCTAGACGAGTCTGACTACATCACCGGGGGGCGTCGGAATCCTGAATTGCCAGGTCCGGGGGGTGCTCCCCCTGGAACTATGCTTAATCCCAATACTAAAGTCATCGAGTTCCAGTCATGTGGTGTTAAAGTCAAGGTTGTAAGGTAGGACTAACCATTGTTGGTCGATACTCGAGACATAGTTTGGAAACGTGGCGAACTTCAATGTCTCTCTAATGAGCTACGATTTTATGTTGAGACGGCTTCACTGTCAGAGTTTCCAACAGAAGCCGGTTGTAAAAAAATCCAATGCCGAACATTTCAAAGAATCTTAGACAGTTTTGAAGAGTAAACTAAGTCAAATAAAATTCCCTTTCGATTTCTGTCATTTTGCTCATATATCAGTGACGTAGCTTATGATGACATTTTAGTTGAAAATGACTTTTATTATTTAACAATTATTCGCCGAAGGCGAAGTGATTACCGGTGAATATTCACCGAGACGAAGTCGAGGTGAATATTCACCGTAATCACTGAGCCTGAGGCGAATAATTGTTTTAGTATAAATTTTTAATGAATAAAACAAAATATCCAAGTTATCCAACTATAAGTTTAATTAAAATTCAGAAATAAAACTGTTTTCGACCGGTTTACGGTTTTAATAGTGTTGCAGTGTTTCTTGTACACGCACGCTTTCAAAATGGCTTCCTGTGCGACTTTATTGCTTTATTACAAAGTTATTTTTCTCGATTTCTGCTTAGAATATAAACACAATGATGGAATGACTTTTTTACCAGACTTAGAATTAAAAAATAGTTTCTGTTTAGCATTAATTTGTTCAGGAAATGGCTGAGAAATTTGGTAAAATGAAATGTAAAACTATATCGTTCAAATTAATATAAAAGTTTTAATACACTTTTCACTTTACAAGTTTTAAAAACACAAATAGTACAATACAGCGAAAGGACACCATACAGCACAATGAAAACACGACATAGTCAAAAGAAATAGTATCGTACAAATTGAGATATTTATAGGATACAAAACAAAATTGTTTTAAAAAGAATATCACGGCTTTTAAAAAGTCGGGATATTTTTTGCTATTTCAGATTTACGTTTGAAGCGAATGTTTCGGAGTTTTAAATAAGTTTTAAATTGTCCGTGAATATGTTTGACACAGTAATATAATACTAAATCCTACCTTTCAAGTTAAATACAACATTTTGTGCTTTTTTTCTTTTTCTGGGACGATTTTTTCAATATTTTGTCGATTTTGAAACCAAATTTGCCGAATCATTCTTTTTGAAAAGCATTATTTACTACCCAGGTGGTAAATAATGCCTCAGATTTACTAGTCAACTAGCCAATCAGAACGCGCGAAAGCTCATTTGATATGCAAAATTTATACTAATGCTCATTATTGTGTTGAAATAAAAAAAAGTGATGAACTGATTTTTTCAATTATCCATCGTATGAAAAATAATACAGGTTAAGGATTGAGGTTAACACAGGGTTTGATTGAGAAACGTTCTAGCACCCAATTGAAAGTAGCGGCTGTCCCACCTTGAAACGTAAGCGTTGTATACAAGACGTGATAATCTGTATTTTGCCGTTTCTTTTCTGCTCATTTTCCTGTATTAATATGATATTATTAGCCTTCCTCGTTGCACTTTCGTCCAGCTTGTTCAGGTTCTTAATAACAGCAGTTCTTTATAAATTTAAAAGTGTAAAATTTAAGGTTGTTTCTTGTCAGGTCCCCGTACTAAATTATCGAATTGAGAGCATCAATTTTGAAATTGGTTAAATATTACAGATACAGAGGCCAAATGATTAAATGGTTTATGCACATATGAGCAAATTTTAAATATTTGTTATCGTTAACCCACAAGATTATAAACCCTGTATTGTAGAAACGCATTATACAGTGTGATGTCTTACTGGGTCTGTTGTTCACTGTATTAAATTTATAAACTCCATTGGTATTTACAGGGAATTCTACATCATCAATCCAACCGACATGGATCTAAATTTCATCTGGACACGAGAAGACCCCTCAGACAGTGGTCCGGCAAATTTCACGTGCACTCCGAAGACAGGCCTTATTGAAAGCGGCAAAAAGATTCACATGAGGTTTGAATATATTTCAAACAACCTTGACTTAACTGAATCATTCTGGAGGTTCTTCATTCAAGAGCACAATATATCATTGCCATTTCTACTGGTTGGACATACCACTGAACCTGTTGTATCGCTGGACCGCTCACACTTTAATTTCCGTGAAATACTTATCGGTAAGATGTCTTCTTTTCTAAGCCTCAGGGTATGAGTACACAACATTTTGTCGGGCAGAATTAAGATTTTTCCTATATTATCATTTCAAGACTTACTGCCAGTCAGGCTTTTAGCCAGGGTCCTGAAAGAGGGCGTCCAATTTTGGTATAACGATATATCTACAGTAAAGGGAGAAGGGGGGGGGGGGGTTCGATAACACATTACTCTGTGGAAAACCTTTGAAGTTTACGTTACTTCATGTCAGTATCTGTTCCAAGCTTGGTCGAAATTTTTCAAACACAGTTATCTATGACATGAAAATTCAGCCAGGTACACCATCAAATTGATCAAACTGTCTAATGTATAATAATAATAATGAGAATTGAAGCTATTTCGTTTCAAATATATTAATATACTTAGGGAAATAATTGAAAATAGTTTCCCTTTTCCCCAGAATTTGGGCGTGCAAAGGCCCATTTTTCGTTCTAGGGGCGTCGCAGGACGCCTGGACGCCCTTCTGGCTAAAAGCCTGCTTCCAGTATCTGTTTCTCCGATTTTTTGTGTTGCTTCATTTCTGAACTTCTGTTCAAAACTAACGGCCAGACAAATTCTGAAAAGAATATCAAACTAAATAACCTGCTAGTGACCAGACAAATTCTGAAAAGAATATCATACTGAATAATTTGCTGACCAGACAAATTCTGAAAAGAATATCATGCTGAATAATTTAGATGATGCGAAGTGACCTTTTCCGCTTATCACGTCAGCAAAATTTACTGGAAAACGGGCTTTCGGCCTCTACGTCATTTTCTTCGGTCGTATGGTGGCAGCCTAAACTCTCCCAGTGTTTGCAAAGTGTCCGCTGCTGGATCTGGATCTGTCCCAATACCTACTCACAAGCAGGGATGGATCCATCATGATCTGGTGGTGGTGGTGGTTGTGTGTGTGTGTGTGTGTGGGGGGGGGGGGTGCTCTGCCTGCTCTGGTGCCAAGTTGTATACATACATACAAAACTTTATTTAAACCACGCTAGCCTCAAGGCTGGTTTCCATGAGGGGCGTGAAATTACCTATTTACAAGAAATTAACTATATACAAGAAATACAAAATATAAAAAAAAGTATCAGCCGTGTGTGCCGCCTGCCCATCAACATACTATATTTGAATACTAATTGTTCTTCACAGTTCGCTTATCATCATGTTATTGCTCAAATTACTGTATCTGATTTTGTCTCTATTATTTTTTTATTTATCATGAAAAATAGCACCCCCCCCCCCTGCACCCCTAACAGTCCTTTGGCAATGCACTGGAAAACATTTTTTAAATCCATATAAGGTCATAGAACGGAAATTTTATGGACCTTTATTGGAAATAGAAGGGATTTTGATCATCCATAATAATTGTATATTTCATACTATGGATACAGTATCGAAATAGTAAGGATATGATATGGATTTAGTGGTGCAAATGTAAATTTCATAGTATGGATTTCACATTTTTTCCAGTGATGGGCTCTTTAATGTCAATTTATATCTCAAACTTTCATCACTTTTGTAGGTTTTCCTGCAGAGCAAACTGTGTATCTGGTGAATGAAGAAGAAAAAGCATTTAGCTTCTCGTTTAATGAAGATTCTTGCTATGCTGAAGCTCATGCTGCTCAATTGTTTGTTGAACCCATGTCTGGATCCATTCCGGCTAAATCAAGGTAGATTAGTCGTATTTTTGCAGACGAAATATCCACAGCTGAGCAACCAATCAAATTGCACGAAAAGCACTATCCGAGTATGTAACCTCCTCGGTTAGTTTTACCAAAGCTCTAAACCATGCACCCCTACTAAGAAATATACGTTTCTCTTGTCATCACATATAGAGTGCCTATAATACTGCGCTTCACACCTACTGCCCAGAAAGAGGTCAACTTCAATGTGGTGTGTAAAGTGAAAAAGAAGACCGTGCCTCTCACGTTGAATGTTAAAGCAGAAGGTTTCGCCATGAAAGTTTCTTTGATTTGTGAAGACTCCGCTGGGAATAAAATAGAGCTAACATCATCAGGTTGTAACAGAATACAGTTTGCTGAGGTATGTACCGTGAAATGCTGTTTACAATATAGTCATGCACCCTATATGTTTACTCTTATCTAAGGCGAGTAGCGAAAAACAAGATGGCCGCACAAAAATTACTAGAAAGGGGGGGGGGGGGATTCGCGTTAGAAAGGAATAGATGTACTAGAAAAAAACTTGTAGAAACTGCTTTCAATGCAAGTTTTTAAAAGGATTATTATATATCGAAAGAGCAGCGAAAAAAGCATGTTCATGAGAATATGAATTGCAGAAAAGGTTACAGCGATAAACAATCAATACGCACTTACGTCTTTGGCCATAGTGGTAATTACTTTAGAACCATTGCCTAGAAGCGTGGCATATAAATGAGTAATCATGCTTTGAATAGGGATGACGGTCCATATTTTCCAGAGGAATACATGCATCTTATTGGCAGATGACGTCATCCCTTTGGTATATAAGAAGCCACATTGCAACTTTAGATTACTCCTGATGAAGACACCAGAGTGTCGAAATGTTGGATCGTGATTACAATTCGACTGGGTTTTGTATTTATTTATATATAAACCAGAGTAGCGAGAAAAACATGATTGATATGCGTCGTTGCCGTGAACGAACAAACTTTAAACTTCTACGACAAGGTTATATTGCCAAAACTCAATTAAATGTCTTTTTCTAGGTCGAGATTAACGAGAGAGCACTTCGTCAGCTGTTTGTTATTAATTCTGGAAAATTTAATTTCGACTTCACGTGGGATTTGCAGAACAAAAGCAAGTTAAGGCACAAGAATAACAAACCGGTAGTTTCGATCGGGCCACAAAAAGGCACTGTTTCGCGTAATTCACGTAAAAGATGTATGCTAACATTCTGCCCACCTGGAAAGTGTACTTTGCAAAACTGTACTCTTATGTTGAAGGTGAGAAAAATTATGCATGGAGTTTTTGTGGTATGGTATGATATGGTATCGCAATAATCGTATCGTATTGTTTTGTGTGATATGGTATGGTTTAGTATGTCATTGGTATGGTATAGTGCCTTCTGGCATGGTGTGGCATGGTATGGTGTAGTGTGGTGGGGTATGTTATGACATGGTATTGTTTTGTGTGATATATATGGTATGATATTTGTGTGGTGTGGTTTGATATGGTTTGACATGTCACATATGGTTTGTACGGGTCGTGGAAAGTCATGGAATTTCATTATTTCGAAATCCAGGCCTGGAAATCATGGAAAGTCATAAAACATTGAGAATTTACAGCCTCGTACCCAGGCTCTTTCGTAATTAATAGCGTTCAGAGCTCTGGGTGAGCAACTAGGCCCGCAGGGATTTTTAGGGAGGTTCCCAAGATTCCCCGCGCGCCTAAAAGCTCACCTAAAGCTCTGAACGCTATTAATTACGAAAGAGCCTGGGTACGAGGCTGGAGAATTTACATGAGCAAAATTTTCCTTTATTTCCATTGATTATTAGTCGTAACAAAAACATGAATTGCAGCAAGTGTTATAGTTTGCGCGAAGTACCGTAGTTTCTTTAGCCGCATGTAAAGGTTTGACCTGTGTTTCCTGTGGATATTTGGTCTTGGAATGGTGTTCGGAATAGTCATGGGATTTCTGTAAATGGTCGTCGAGGGTGATGAAAAAGTCATTAAATTTTAAATCGGATAAGGCATACGAACCCTATGGTCATGATAAGCATGCAGGTCTTGTTGTGTGTGATACAGTATGGTTTAGTATATCATGGTACGGCATAGTGCCCTATGGTATGGTATGATGTATGGTATGGTATGGTATGGTATGGTATGGTATGGTATGGTATGGTAAGCCACAATTTTCAAGTTGCTAAATTCGACTGCTCATCTCTTTCACATTTCATTTTCTTATGTTTAGATAACAAATGGACCAACCTACAATATTGAAATCACTGGTAGCGGCATTCGTCCATCTTTGAAGTTCTCTTTCAATCGTTTCGACTTTGGTCCATGCTTTCTGTACCGTGCTGGTATTGCGCCCCAGAGGAGCATTTTGGTCATCACCAACGAAGACAGCAAAGACATCAAGTAATTATTATACCTAACTTTAAAAGAAAAAAAGGCATTCAAAACATGAAGATTCACATTTATGTGCTGCAGTTTAGCAAGTACCCTATTTGGTCATGCAAGCATTGTGCTAAATCGTCTGGCGTTAAATAGAGTAAAATAATAAAGTAGGGTGCATTTGGGCGTAATGCAAATGAATGGATTAACTAGACACATGGACAATTGTGACATTGTGTAATTTAGTTAAATTGGAACATTGTGCATGTGATTTAGTTAATGTAAAGAAACGTTTTCGGAGATTTCTAGTCGGTCCTGATGTGGCGCTAATGCTTTATACTTTCTATTCCAGCGTTCATTGCAAATACGAGAATACGGCCTTCCTAGAGTTACTGTCACAGCCATCAGTATTATTACCCGGAGAAAGCTCAGAAATCGACATCTTATTCTATCCCAGAGAATGTAAACATTATCATGAAGTCATTCCGTTTGAAATCAACGGTCTGTCCTTAATGTCTGTTGATATACTTGGGCAAGGAACAGAAATTAAGGTACGCTTTTTACGCAGTCAACTTTTCTTATTTATGAGGAGATCATCACAGTATGTGGTCTAAACCTGCAAGACTTGGTAGAGCGAATACAAAAGCACTTCCCTTACTAAATTTGTTTATGTTATAGTTACTGATATTTTCTATTAAATATAATTTCTATTGCCTTTATTTAACGTAATTTGGTTCATTCAAAAGTCAAAGGCCATGCAAAGTCAAGATAAAGCACTGTATTAAAAGTGCAAACAAAACTTTATTTTGGCATTGATTGTATATTTTCTTTAAATCACTTGTAAAGGAAAATTATACTTTACTCTCAAACTAAATTTGACATTAATATATAGTCAACAAGACCTAGAATACTATAACAAACAATATTTTTTCGTTTAAATAAGAGAAAAATATTAATAATCGCTGTTGTTTTCGTACAACTGGCATGATATTTTTTGTGTCTTTCGTATTCCCTTTAAAAAAATAGATTCATATTTGTCTTTTGTAGTGTTATAAGTCTTTTGCAAACATACGAGTTAAATTGTCCAATTCAAATTAAAAATCGACTTTAAACAGCAAGAAAGAGGCAGCAAACTAAATAAAATTCTGCCAAAAACATTGCCGACAGTGCACGAATTCGCTCGTACGTAAACACGGGCTAGTGCTGATTGGACGAAACGTTTTTCGCACGTGTGAAATAATCGTTTCGCGTTTCTGATTGGTTGACGTTAATCTTGAAAGGGCTTTTCACATTAATAAAACCGTGCGTAAATATCAGTATCGATATAATAAATCTTAATATTTCAGTTCAGAATTGCTTCCAGTACGTAGCTTCTGAAAATTCTTGGCAACTTTTTCCATCACTACCATGGAATTACCCAAAAGCTGTGAAACCACCGGATATGGTCCTCACAATTAAAGCCGGTTACGGACGAGCAAGTTTTCTATGACAAGTTTTTATGTGACAAGTTTTATTTGCCAGGTGCACGTGTGTATATGCAACAAATTTTATATGACAAGTTTTCATATGACAAGTTTTATTTACTGGTGTGAACGTGTCCACAAGTTTACTTTGACAATGTATTAGTAGCCAGCAATGTTATACAGCGGCCAACGCGAACGCTGGTCAATCACATCAAATGCTCAGATTACTTTGACAAGTTTTCTTTGTTGACCCATACAGACGAACAAAATTTGTACTTTGACAATTTTTTCTATGACAAGTGCACTTGTTCAAAACTCAAAAGCTAGCATCATAGCTTTTGAACAAGTGCACTTGTCATAGAAAAACTTGTCAAAGTTGCGCGTACAGACGAGCAAATAAAACTTGTCACATAAAAACTTGTCATAGAAAACTTGCTCGTCTGTAACCGGCTTAATAAAAAGAAACTTAAATTTATAAATACTGAATTTTATTCGGGGTTATACCAATCAACGGCCAATTTTGGAAAGTCTGAAAAAATCACTCTATCCGGCTGATAGCGCTTTTCGTCCTTCGTACAACCGCCCGCTGGGCGGTAACAGTAGAAGAAAAATGAAATTCCATGCCAATTGCCCAAGATAATTCTACTAAGAACATTCCTCCAGTAGTGAGGATGTGTCAATTTCTAAAAGCGTCTGAATGGCAGCTTTATAACTCGTAACAAAAGCTAGATACGGGCGATACGAAAAATCAATCCATTTTTTCAACAGAAATTGATTTGGTTACATCATTCATTCAACATATTACCATTTATAGGTGGACGTATGCAACCCTGACGATCGTAAAGTGAACTTCGGTGCCCTCCGTATTGGCCAGTCAGCGGAACGTATTGTGAAACTACGCAACAACAGTCCAGCGGCAATCACATTTTCATTGGTCATTACTCCATCTTTGCCGATTCTTCAACAGTCTTCTGTTCTTACTGTATCTCCTTCGTCTGAAATCACGTTAGAGCCGAATGGAGGTTCATGCAATGTCCATGTGATGTTCACGCCCACTACACGAATTCCACAGTTTACTGAAGAGGTATTTCATAATTTATATTTTTTACTTGGATCACGGACACAGTTTATTTTGTGATCCCAAAACCATTTATTTTGTATAAAAAATATATTTTTGATAAAAACTAATGCCGAAAGAGCGAAGATAAAAACATAACAGAATAAATTTTTTTTCAAAAATTTAAAAGCAAAAACTCTTTGTAGTCTTTATGAAAGTAAAGTCAACAAGCACTTGTATTGTCTGAAAAATCTTAGATGTGTAAAAATTTCAAGATTTACAGCAATGTTCGAAGTACTGATTTAAAAAATGAACAGCGGTGTTTTCTTAGGTTTAAGCCAAGTTGTGTGCATAGCCAAACTGTTAAAATATTACCATGCTGAAGAGCCTGTAAATGCATGCACTAGTTGTTTATATAAAGCCTATAAAATGCAACCTACTTCATATATTTTAGAAATTGATGGTTCTTCAGTTAGAAGTCTTAAACATTGTTTTTTTTTCGTTTTGTACAAAAAAATTTAAAAAAAAACAATGATCGTGTTGCCATGGCACACATGACGCGAGCAACACGAGCCTGTGTTCAGTGTTGGCGTAATTCGGAATACTTCAGGTTGAAACCAGAGGGTTGAAACAGTGTTTGGAACATAAAGGCGAGGGGTGGCTGCATGCATGTATGTAGTATTTAAAACACGAGGCGCAGCCGAGCGTTTTAGATATGATAAAACGTGAGTTCGAGTGTTTTGAATAGCTTAAAATACGATTACAAAAGAATACTAATTAGGATGAACAATTATATAATACTAATTAGGATGAACAATTATATAAAGAATACTAATGAAGATGAGTTTTATCAGATATAAGGTCACTCCACGTGACATATTATGGCTGACATGATTTGCCACAAGGTTTATGAATTTTTAATGAGTATTTTAATTCTAGTAAAAATCTAGTAATCTCGTTTTTGTTCCAGGTGATGTTAGAATGTGCAGGACTGTGTCAAACAGTGTTCCTTGTCTCTGGTACGTGCCAGGCAGTTGACATCAAGCTAGACAGTACCTCAGTTCCATTTGGTGCAGTAGTTATAGGAAGTCAAAGTTCCCGTGTCCTGGTCATGCAGAATCTTGGAGATATTGGTGCGAGGTTTTCATGGAACATGAATGAATTCAGTTCTGATTTCTCAGTCGAACCAATCAAGGGGTATTCTTCCCCGGGAACTGAGGTCTCATTTGAATTGAAGTTCTGCCCGCAGAAAGTTAACCAAGATATCAGGAATGAGGTAAGGCTGTTCTTTTTTATTGGAGAATTTAATAGCTGGCCATTCATCGCTGACGAATTTCTAGGCGCAGGAGATAAATAATTGTGTCGCACTCCCCAATTCCGACACCATTCTCCTGTAATATTTCAATTCCAGGCAGCAGTTTGAATTGTAGGCTTTTTCGCTGACAACTCGGTAGAAAACAGCAAAATTATGCTACGATCCCTTGTTACCTCCATCTTTCTGTATAAATTGACCCTAGAAGTTCCTATCACGCAATTTTCAATCCATCTAAACATTGGGTATACCCAATGCAATGTGGGATACATGTGGGTCAAACATGCTTTGTTTGACAGTGGCGTGACGTAAGGACTTCTGATGTCAATTAGTTTGTCCATGCTGCCTTGGCCACCGAGTTTCCTGCGGAGGAGGCTATTTAGGGACCGGTCATTATTTATGGCGGGGGGTGGCACCGAAGAGAAAAGGGTTGGGCAAACAAAATTTTGAGTAAGTAAAAGGTTGGGTAAATAAAAAACGAAACGACTCAAAGGTTGGGTAATAAAAAATTATTTTCATTTCCAAAGCATAACTCACTCAAATATTGAAGACTGAAAACTTCAATGTCAACAGTCATATGTCAATACAATATGTGAATCAGTCACTATCTTGATGATTTTCCGATTTGTTGGGAGACAAATGCTGTCTCCAAAGAAAGTAAATGTGCAGACAACATGAAACTTTAGACTGCAGAAAAGTCAGTAAATTTCACAAGCCGAACGTTATCCGGCAAACTCGTATCACAGAAGTGGTAAAGGACATGTGTGACAACTGAATGACATCCTTTTGTAACGTTTTTGGCCAGGGGTGGGTATTTATTTTTAAAATGATATTTGAGGTTGGGTAATCAAATTTTTGATTTTTTAATGGTTGGGTCAGCAAAATTTTTGGCACGAAAAACATTTCTCTTTGGTGCCACCCCCCACCATAAATAATGACCCGTCCCTTACTAAAAACTGTTGTGTTTTATAAATTACCAAATAAAATCTCTTGTTCAATTTCACTAAAGGGTGGAAAACCTGATACGTTTGGAGCAATTTGAAATTTACTAGTTTACTTAAATGTTGTCTAGTTGAGTTGTATGATTGAAGGAAGCAATCCATTGAAATTGGTGCTAACTGGAAGTTGTGTTTTCCAAACTCCTGTGAAAGAGGTATGGTATACTGACAATACCTGCACGCACGTCGTGTTTTTGCACAGAGTACTGAGGTTATAGTTAAGCATTTCTATTAGATGGTTGGGCAAAAAGAACATAGCGGGGTATCTACGTTAAGGATGTAACTACCTATATAGAAAAAACATTCATTGGCATTTCGAAAAAAAAGTCGCGGGACGAAGAACGGCCATATACATGTTCTCCGAAGAACGGCCATATGATTATCACAGTTTGTCAAGTTGTGATGGCCTGGAAGCCCGGCAAACTTCAAAGCCACAAAGTGGAAAACCTTTGTCTGATGTTGAACTGTAACTTGCCTTAAGGTACGTTTACACGCTGCGATTTGTCGGGCCGATTTTGCTCGCTGTATGTAAATAACCTGTCGTGAGTACTCGCGTCAGCACCTTGCGATTCACAAAATCGGGAGAAAAATCTGTTACAAAGCACAGATTTTTCTCACGATTCAACGATTTCTCTTCCGTTGTAAAGTTGTTGAAAACTTTTCGCACGCAGAAAACTATAATATGAACAGACGAGAGAGCGGACAGCTTCAATTGAACGTTTAAATCGCTAAATGTCGAAGAAGGGGCATCGATAATTTACCAAAATCGGCCCGACAAATCGCAGCGTGTAAACGTAGCTTTACACAAATCCTTTGTCTCAATTTCATTAAATATTATTCATTGTGGTTGCACGTTTCATCTCAGCTATCCCTATTGGACGGTTACTTCATTATACGAAAATACAATGAGCTCAATCACCGTGACCGTGCACAAATTAACAGAATCTCAGACAATGACTTATGAATGACTTAACAATGACTTATGTTTAGTTTCCAGATCATCATACCTTGATAGACTATGTATGTCAGGATAGTTCTACCATCCTGTCAACTTTCCCTGTGGGAGGAAACCGGAACGCCCGATTAAATATCTATACGACTTTCGGCAGAGCCTTGACAGATTCTTTTCACATGAGTCCGTAGCGAGGATCGAACCCAAAGCTCCTAAAATTTGCGATGCAACATCACAGCATTTATTTTTTCTCAGGTTATTCACTTTTCAACGCACGTTCGTACGCGTGAAACTCGTAGTATTGTGTTGAACAACCGTAGTAACCTCCTGTGGCAATTATGTCCGAAAATCGACGGCGCGTATTGGTCAGGTGCTGATCTCATTACTGTGGAACCATTGCAAAGTAAAAATTACGAGTTGATATACAGGCCATTGGTGATGACACACGAGGGGAAAAGACACCAGGTACTCGAATAGGAGAACTTTGAATGAAATGATTGGTATAATAAGGAAATTGGCAGGCAACCCCCTTTTCTGTAGGTAAGGAAGGTTGCGCCCACTATAAAATCATTTTGGTTAAAATTTCCTTAAATACCAGAAATAGCATGCACTATTTGGGTTATTGAACTTAATATTCCTGGTTAAATTTGCAAGGCGGAAACTTGAAATGTTTGTATATTAATATTTTTTGGACAAAATAAGTGCTTGTTCACCTTGTTGACTTTACTTCTATAAAGAGTTTTTGCTTTTAAATCAGTTTTGTTAAAAAAATTATATTCTGATTTCTGTTCATGTCTTCTGTTCTTCGCTTTTTCGGCATTATTTTTTTCAAAAATATATTTTTAACCAGTTTAAAGGCATGTTTACATGGAGGTAGTGTGAGCCTAGCAGAATGGTTACCCTAGTAACCGCGAAACCCTAGTCTCTTGTGTTTGCGCGTTCCGTTTACATGCGCGCTATAGGGTTACCTATAGGGGTAGGGTTACCCTCATGTCAAATAGATAGGATGACCCTGCAGAAGGGCTATGTTTTTTGTTTACATAAGCCAAGTAAACGCCAGATAGGATCACCCTACCAAGCGGGCCATGTCGTACCAGCTCTGAGTATCAACACGTGTATATATTTTAAGCCATATCATGAAAATATAAGAGGACGGATACTCACTCGCATAAATAAAAGTTCTGCCACCAGAGTATGAATGGTGTCAGTGAAGAGATTTTGGGGACGAAGCGGGAAAGGCTCGCAGTCGGCCGAAATCCTAGCAAAGCTATTTTGCGCTATATAAAACAATATAGCGCCCTGCTAATGTGCTGTAGTGTGCGTAGTGTGCTGTATGCATATAAATGTAGCGGAGTGCCATTTAAAATAACTGCATGAGATGTAAACGCGCTGTAAAAGAAATGCTGCGTAGTGCCATAAGATTAGCGTATAGTGCGCTATATAATTTAAGAATAAAGCGCACTTAGCTCATTGCTACAAATAAAAGTTATAGCGTTCATGTGCTGTATTTAGGAATGTAACGGAATAACACGGCATTCAATGCATGTGAATTATACGAATTTGAGCCTTTAAGCAATCACTGGTAGTATGCCGACCTTGTAATTCTGCAAAATCTTTTATGACGCCGCAAAATTCTAAAACGTATAACAAGCACTGGTGACCTTACCTCATGTAAACATTGATCGTTATTTTTGACCCTCTTGGTATGTTACCCCTAGTGGTAGGGTCATCATACTTCCATGTAAATAGGTGTTTGCTAACATGTAAACAGTTGCTGGGTGTATTTTCATTGTGCTTTTATAACCGTTAATTTTTCCCGTATTTTTTCCGCCGCCATATATCCTGCTAGTAGAGAGCCAATCAGATTATATCCGGTATAGGTGTCTATATAATAATATTTCATATCTACCTATGGTTAAATTTACTATAGTCGGGAAAGAGTGAAAATGACAACGAAATGTTAGCCAGGAAAATTAAGTTAACCCAAACATAGGGTTATTTAACCATAATGATTTTAGAGTGCATGCACCCTCTGTACCCTCCATGCAGTAAATCCATCCATAATATGTTACCGCGCAAAAATGATAATATTCAATTATTAATTTAGTTCTTCTCGTATAAGTTCCACATGTTATTATACCATTGCTATTTCTTTCAACAGGGTTCCGTATTCTTTCCCCTGCCCGATGGCAATGGTTTGCTGTACAACGTGACCGGAATTTCTGAATCGCCTAAAGCTGTCAGTAATATTGTCCGGGATATACCATGTAAAACCAACTATACTGAATTATTGACTGTTAACAATTGGTTGAAAAAACCTCAAAGGTATATTTGTATTTGTTACATTTACCAGTATATGCAACAATAGACCTCTATTGCCCTATTTGAGTCAATTTGCAATTTGAAATTAGCACTCTGTAAATTCCAGAAATGAAAAGACTGGTCAAAATTAGATAGACTATATTTTAAAAAGTGGCACTAGCGTCGTTTTTAGAAACAGAAAATTGGATAGAAAATGTATGGAATTTTGCAGTAAACGAGCATGCGTGCTCTTCAAACCTCGATTCATGGCACGTCGGCTCCAAACTTTTTGGACTTACTAACTTTGATCTTTCCATTTGTGGTAGTTACAGAGTCTGAACATCGAATTTTACATCGATTCAAAAAACGTGATGATAAAGGTCTATGATACTACAGTTTGCAATCAACTATGAACTTGGGCTATGATAACGCTTCGAGATGGCAAAGGATTGTATGTTCATAGAGTCAGATAGAAATTTTTGCTTTCCTCTTTTGCTCTACATTTGCATCGCATTCAAGCTGCTAGGTCAGACATATTTTGTCGTGCTGATATGACGATAATACCCAAGTATGGAAATTGGATTTCCACACTATCTAGTAAATATTTTTTTTAAAAATTTTCAGTGAGTGCTATTTTCATACTCCGTATACATGGTATAGTAACATCTATATCTGTATATTATGGCAGGTTTTTTAATACCTCATTTAGTATTGAGGAACTTACATATCGGTGTGACACACACGATATTTCACAAGCTTAAACACCTCCTACACAGCAGATTACTAGTTTCATATTATTCTTGCACTGCCGAGTGCAACGTCACTAGTTTATGGAACTAAGTTTATGGAAAAATACGGAACTAGTTTTTCATATATCGGAAGATGGTTCTGAAATAGAATTCCATATCTCTGAGGATGTTTGTGAAATAAATCAGATTAAACAAACTAATGACTTTAAGCATGTTTTCTTTCAGATTCCGCGTAATTACTGAGATGATAAAACCGGACAAACTAGATGGTTCTACCGTATTGAAAGGTCTTCAGTATATCGATGTTCCTGGACAGATGAAGAAGGATTATAAAATAGATTTCTATGCCCACAAGGAAGGGACGTTCAGTGCTAAGGTTTGTTCATTTTGGTAAAATAGGACATTCTAACACTGGAATTTTTTTCAAAATCCTTACTATGGAAGTAGTATGGATCTTAGTTGAAAATAGTATGGAAATCTAATTTTAGTACTAATTGTAATTTCCATACTGTGGATATAGTATGGAAATATTATGAATATAATATGGATTTAGTGATGCAATCGCAAATTCCATTGTACGAATTTCCAGCGTAATAAGCCAATTTTGGGTTTCAACTGCTCATCCAATATAGTAATGAATGACTGGATTACTTGGAGAACAGACAGTGGGATTCTCAAACCAATAAAACCAGTGGTGGATCCAGCAAAGTTTTTTTGTTTTTTTTGGGGGGGGGTTGCTAACCAATGGCGAAACGAGCGCCGAAGGCGCGAGGTTTGTAGGGTGGTCCGGGGGTATACTCCCCCGGAAAATTTTTAAAATTTGGGTCTCTGAAATGGCATTTCCAGCATTCTGAGAAAACACTCTGGAAAATTTTTAGATTCTGAAAACATTTAAAAATTCAGAATATTTAATATTGGCTATTCCGCTAGTGTCAACTGGTGATACGCAACTGAATTCCTTAACATAAGTTGGTTAGAGTTAGGATAAACGTCATTTTTGCACCCCCCCCCCCATGCACCCCCCTGTTGACCAGATCCCCTAAATCCACCACTGAATAAAACAGACCATGGGAAATTTAATCTTCATCGCAGATGGCCTTATGGCTCCAACCTGTTAAAATAGTATAAAGCTTGAGTAAGTGATGTTATAAAGCATCAAGATGGCCATAACTACATGTAACCTTCTGGACAATATTCAGTATACCGCGCAATTTTGTCTGCCAATAAATTTCGTAAACATTCGAACTTTCGACACCACACCTAATTTTAGTGTACAGTGACAACCAATTTGCGCAATGATAATGCGAATGTGTGCAGTGATATAAACAGTGAAAATGTGCAGTGACAACATTTTGCTGTGATCAATTTTTGTTTTTTAAAATAATGTATTTTAAAATATGCTATTCCAAGAATTGCATGCGATATAAAAGCAATCAAAATAATGCACCGTTTTGTATAATTAGTGGAAGACATTTCTAATTGTCTGAACTTTGTGAAAAGAAAGCCTGATTTGGTTTAAAAAGTCTTGCATTGATTGCGGTTTCTGAATAGCATTTACTCTATGGGCGCTTTCCATTTAATGACCTGACCGGTCAGCCACGAATTTTTGTCTCCAAAGATCTGGTCTATGTTTCTCAAATATCTAGCGAAAATGGACCTCATTCTAATTTTATCTAAATTTTCCGGTCATATAGGCCCAAGCCCAAACGTTTTGTGTTCCATTCAACAATTTGACCGTTCTGGCCGTGTTAATGGAAAGCACCCTATGAGTCACTCCATGCAAAATAATTGTCTCCTGAAACAATGAAGAATATAATGCGGTGCAGCTGGCTTTGCGAAGGCGTCCTTTTTTTTACCATGTTTTGACGATTTCTTGTTCTTTCATTTTAGATTATCTTCAAAAACGAGCAGACATCAGAATATTTATTCTATTACGTGACATTTAAAGCTACTCCACCTGGTATAATATCAACTATCGATCTTACTACACCAGTGCGTCAGTCTGCATCTCACGTCATCAGTTTGTATAATCCATTAACTGTGCAAGTCAACTTCTCGACTGCTTCGACGTTATCAGACATTCTGCTTCCACCAAATTTCACTGTGCCACCACAATCGGAGGTAAGAGGTTTCCTGATATTGGGGTTCAGATATTCAATTCCCCAAAATACGAGGGGGAGGTGAGAGCTCTAAAACTTTCAACTGCCTTTTTTGTTTGACATTTAGTAAATTAAAAACAACGAAACAAAACAAAAACAAATGATTACTTGAGTATGCAAATCCTATGAAAATCGTTTCGATGATGATTCATACCATATTATTTGAGCTAGGATTAGTTAGGCACTGTTCAGCCAGCAAGAAAGGCAGTTTTGGACAGCCCATATTCTTGTAATCTTCAGTTGCCATGTTGGAGAAACATTAACAAAAGAATGTTATTAGCAGCTGTTGTATTTGGAACGTGTTTTCCTCTCACATCGCCGCTATATCTTTGTTTTATAAATCCCAAGGGGTTTTGTTTAGTTTTCTTTATTCCTCATATATTATATCTTCTTGTTTTTGTAGGGATCTTTTACATTCGACTACCTTCCACTAAAATCTGGTGAGGTAACAGGTCGTCTGACATTATCCAGTTCCGAACTCGGATTTTATCAATATGACCTGAACTTGACAGTAACACCAGCTGGTCCTGAAAATCAAGTACATTTCCGAACTTATCTTGGTTCAACACAGAATCAAACATGTCGTTTTATCAACTTCTGCAAATCCCGTGTTGAATACATTTGTAAGGTAAGGGATAGCCTTGTGATTGAACTCAAGGTGAAAGAGAAACATATTTGTTCACAAGACATGTGGACTTGACTTTCACGTGCGCTTGCCATGCTAAAACAGACAAACATGGAAACGAGGCCATTGGGGAAAAAGTGCAAATAAACAGGAAAGTCTATTTATTCAATATTCGTATGTTTTTTAAACAACATACAATAGCTCAGTCAACGAAAACATCCTCGTCATCGATAACTAAAGGCGACTATGAATTATATCCCGTTGAGCATTCTAATCCGCCATAGTTGTTGAAACTGTTGTCTGTAGAAATTCTGAGACGTAAAATCTTCATGTTTATTTTCCCAGGTTGACAACCCTGACTTCCATGTCGAACGTTCGATCACAGCAGCTTCAGCCTCAAGTGGAGGTACTGAAGTTAACGTCGAGGTGATATATGAACCTAGTTGCCTTGGCAACTCCCGCGCTACATTACTGCTGACGTCACCAATGGGTGGAGATTACACCTTCCCTTTGTACGGTTATGCCGCCCCACCTAAACCACAAGGACCATACACGATCAAGGCTGGTGCAAGTGCTTCGATACCTTTCAAAAACGTGTTCCCCCAGGCTACACAGTTCACGTTTCATGTTGATAACCCCGTGTTCAGTGTCAAACCAACGGAGACAATACGAGCGAAGAAAGTACACAATGTTGTCGTGACTTTTGATGGTAACCAAGGCAACGCAAAGACAACACGTATGGGACGGTTGGTTGTTGCTTCTGCTTCGAGTGCTAGTCTCACCCACAACATTGAGTGGGTTTATTATCTTAAGGGCGTTACCCCATAAATTCTCTTCTGCTTTAAATAGACAACCTTGTTTGTACATGTTTACACCCCTGTATATTTCTGTATATTTTGGTAATTTTATTGCCTGCAGTTATAGATATAATAACACTTTTTATGTGTGCTTTAAATATGACATTACATTTACAATAAACTTTTTACCATAATATTTAGTGCATTCGTGGGGTTTTTTTCTTAAAATGTACCAATGACACCTTACTCGTATTTAATGGGTGATGATCATGTGCAAGGGCTGATCCAGGGTTTTTGATGACTGGTTTACTAGGTGAAAAGGTTCACCCAAATAATAGGGTGGTCCCCCCCCCGGAAAAAAATTAAAATTTGAGGCTCTGAAACAGCATTTCCTGCGTTCTGGCGTCGCTTTTTAAATAAATTTAATGATTAGAAAATGCATGTTTATAAGTGATTTTTTTACTAATACGCAGCTCAAACAATGAATTGAACCTTTTCCGAACCGTATTAGCTAGTGCCTAGTGATAAAAATATAGGATCCGCTAATTGCTGACACATCGATTTAAATCTACACGCTTTAAATCCAACTCTAACGAACGCTTCCCAATCATTTCCTGATTCTCAATCGCCAAAGCAATGATCAGTAGGTCTAAATATGCTCGGTAGGCCACGCATAATCAAATTTCAATAGATTAGACAACATCAATTTTATGAAACAGGATACTCTTTAAATCAGTTATATACATGGAAGGTTATAGATTTTCTTTCTTTGGAAAATCTGAACAGGTTTATGTAAACCTGTCAAACCTGTCTAAATCCGCCCCTGATGTGAATGTCCGAACGCGTGGTGCCGATGAGTGTGTGGTGCCGATGAGCACGTTTTGTACGTGTGTTTTACTTTTACGTTAATTTGCTGCAAAAAAGCGTATATAGAAACATGTTAATTTTAATATTTCTATCTTACTTGACGGTAGTTTAATTTAGTGTATTTAAATTTTGGCAGGGACAGGGGGTGCACAATTTCTCTGAGGGGTGGAAAGAATTTTTTTGGGGGGTGGGGTGCGCACCCCCCCCCCAGAAAATCCGTCCTTGTGTAAAATATGTATTAATCATTAAGTCGGTTACAGACGAGCAAGTTTTCTGTGACAACTTTTTCATATAGAAAGTTTTTATATGGAATGTTTCTCTGTGTGCACGTACGGCAGACTTTTTTGCTTTCTGCCCACTGCAATATATAGGCTACTACAACGATATATATCGCTGTGTATAATCGCATACAAGTGCTGAAATTGCTTTGTTGGCCCATACAGACGAGCAAGATTTGCACTTTGCCATTTTTATAACAATTGTTCAGAGCCTAGAAAATTTTGGCAAAGTTGCTTACTGACAGACTATATAGCAAATAGAACTTGTTATATGAAAACTTGTCACAATATAAAATTTGATTGGTCCATGAAACAGGAAGTTAGGAACTTTTTAAGGAACTTATCAAACTGTTGAGGTGTTCCTTCAAGTTAGGAAATGAATTGGTCAACATTTTTCGGAACGCTTCTATTGGCACAACTGTAATGGTTGTAAAACTTTTAAAATGGATAAAAATTTAGTACTTTCGACTTTCGTCCCTCAACCTCGACTTTTGACCCTCGATCTCGACTTTTGACCCTTAACCTCGACTTTTGACCCTCGACTTTCGATCCTCGACCTATGACTCTCGACCAATGACCCTCGACCATTGACCTTAGAACTTACTCCTCGAACGAACCAATCACATTGCTGTATTCATGTTTCGATCTGCTTGGCGCGAAAACTGTAATAATTGTCTTATATGAAAGATTTCATGAAGTATTTATAAGCAAGAAATTGATTGCGGGCGCTCTTTGTTTACAAAAATACAAAATGGTCGAAAAATGTTCTGCAAATTTAGAATGTTTATATTACAAAACAGTGCAAAAACCATGCGAATTATTTAGTTTATATACAATTCTTTGCTTACTTGTGTAAAGCATGGAAGTAAGCGACAAAAAGAAGAAACTTGGCGTATTTTATCGCATCGGTAAGTAACTTTGTGACAAATATTTTATATACAGACCTGTATTAATACAGCTAGTATTAAAACAATGTCAGTGACCTTGAGTTAATAATATTATCTAATACCAGTGTAATAGTATTGAGAATTTTGATTTTATGTTTTGTAACTTTGTTGTTGCAGTAAAAAGACGAATATTGCGATATCAAAGTGGCAGTCTAGGGCTGTTTCCTTTACGCCCATTTGGCGGTAAACCTGCTGAAGGTCATGTTAGGGATAATGTGTATTGTGCTCAAGTTGTCTGGGCATTGGCTCTTGCTTACAGGTATACAGTTGTAAAACTAAAGTTATTAGCTTATGATGTATCCACGCACTGTCATGTGTATCAGACATTCCAACTCTCCCGATTTTACCGGGAGTCTCCCGAAAATTCATGCAATCTCCTGGTCTCCCGATTTTTATAAAATTCTCCAGATTTTTCAGAATATTAAGGAAATATAGTAAAAAACTATTTAAATACTGTTTTTAGCAACAAATAGTCTGTCTTGACCTTTTTATGAAGTTCCTTAATGGCAATTTATATGATCACTTATAACAACATCTTCCCAAAATGCAGGAAATGCCATTTCAGAAGACTTAATTTTTATTATTTTTTCCCAGAAGAACTAGATTTCAATTCACTGAACAGTCTCCCTAAATTTTACCTCAAGTAGTTGGAATGCCTGGTGTATGTAATGTACGCATCAAGCAGCAATTTATAGACCAGGGATGCCGAGGGGGGGGGGGGATTGCCCCAGGCCCCCACCTTAATAGGGCCCCAATTTGAGAGCGAGAGCCTAAAATTGAGTAGGTTCTTTAAATTGGTCAGAGCATTTTTGAAGTTGAGGGCCCCTTACAGTAGCTCCAAATTTATGCAGTTTAACTAAGTTCCAGTTGGTGACTGACTTGGGTCAAGCTTAAAAATAGTGATGTCATGGGGCCCCCGCAGAAGATTTTCCCCAGGCCCCGCGAATTCTCTCGGCGGCCCTCAGTATAGAACACCATATATACATTCAAATCAATCAATTTAAATGCAATTAATAGCATTTAGTGAAACATCTATAAATTATCTCTGTAGATTGTTCAGTGGTTTGTAAACAATATACAAATGAACACATACCTGACTAATACATTAAAAAATGCACAATAATTAGCAAGTGTCCATGTTTGTTCAAAATAAACTCTCAGGGAACAAAATCTTTGGCACACAAGCAATACACATTAAATCCCATTTTTCCAAGTTTGAAATTGATCTTTTGCAGAACTCAAAAGTAAATCTTGGAAATTAATCTAAACTAGATATAAATTAACCACTTTGATATAACATACATGTAGGTGTCTAACAGTCCACTGTGATATAACGTAGGCCTCTCTCTCGTTCCCATCGAACGCCAACATTTGACTGTCTAATGCCAGACAATTTTAGCTTGTCAAGGGGAGAGCACTAGCTGGCGTTCGTTGAGTTAATCAGACTATCTGCCTGTGCATCTAGTTGGCCCATTAAATTACAATGTGCCCAATGCACCCTATTTTATTGTTTTATTCTGTCTAATGCCAGACAATTTTACTCATCAAGGGGAGAGTGCCAGTGCTCAATGGGTTAACGTTATCTGAAACCTACCAAATGGATTAATTTTTCTGATCAGTAATTTTCTAATTTCTTGCAATATTGTCATATAAGACAAGTGGATGATGACAAAGGAAGGAACTATGAACTGGAGCAAAGTGCAGTGAAATGCATGAGAGGAATTCTCTTCTGTTACATGAGGCAAGCTGCAAAGGTGAATAGAAAACAAATATTAAGTAATTGATATATTTTGAAATATATAGATTATAGTGATTTCATTGTTTGTCTAAACGTAACTATATGCTGTAGGCCCAAAGTAACTAATTAATATATAGTAATTAAAAATAGGCCACTGAAATCACCAACCATAATAAAGATGTAACCTGTTTGTCCTGCATATTGTTTCATGCATGAGCATTTATATAAAAAAAAATAGAAAAAGAAGACCCGACCTACCCTGCTTGAGTTTTTGCAACAGGAAGTGGGAAATCC